ATAGCAAACCCACTAGATGTTGCCAATGAAATTGGCAATCATCTGGTCCGTATTTCTCAGGGACTCCATCTATGCCCCTCATTTCTTTCCTCAAAGTCTGCTAGAGAGTTAGCACCCTTGGACTTTTCTTCTCTCGGAGAAGAACAGTATAATGTGCCTTTTACACTTCAAGAACTGGAGGCAACACTCTCAGCTTGCCGATCATCGGCAGCTGGGCCCGACAACATTCATATTCATATGCTACAACATTTACATCAGTCAGCCCTTGCAGTCCTATTATGCCTTTACAATCTTATTTGGTCACAAGGAGTTCTTCCACAGCTGTGGAAATCCGCCATTGTTCTCCCTTTCCGCAAACCAGGCACTGAAACCAGGACATGAAACCTCCCACTATCGTCCCATTGCTCTTACCAGTGCAGTTTGCAAAGTAATGGAACGTCTAGTAAATAGACGTTTAGTGTGGTATTTAGAGACACATAACAGTCTCTCCACTCGTCAATATGGCTTTCATAAGGGACATTCTACCATAGACCCCTTACTATGCTTGGATACGTATGTTCGTAATGCCTTTGCGAATAACCACTCAGTTATTGCCATATTTTTTGACCTTGAGAAGGCATATGACACAACTTGGAGGTATAATATTTTAGCCCAAGCCCACTCCTTAGGCCTTCGAGGCAATCTACCATCCTTCCTTAAGAACTTTTTAACTGACAGGCATTTCCGTGTTCGGGTTAATAATGTGCTCTCCCCGGACTTTATCCAAGCTGAAGGTGTCCCCCAGAGATGTGTTCTGAGCACAGCACTTTTTCTCCTTGCTATTAATGATTTGGCCTCTAGTCTTCCATCAAATATTTGGTCATTACTCTATGTTGATGACTTCGCTATTGCCTGTGCAGGCGCTGACTGTCACCTCATTACAGTTTCTCTCCAACATGCAGTCGACCGTGTTTCCAATTGGGCCACCACACGTGGGTTTTAAAAATTTCCAGCACTAAAACCCACCAAATTACTTTCACTAGACGCTCTGTCATCTCCGATCATCCTTTATACCTCTATGGCTCCCGTATCCCTGAACGTGATACAGTCAAGTTTCTGGGCCTCCTCTTTGATCGTAGGTTATCCTGGAAACCTCACATTACCTCTCTGAAGGCAACTTGTCACAGCCGGCTGAACCTTCTTAAAACCCTTGCTCATCTTTCATGGGGAGCTGATCGTCGAACCCTCCTCCGCCTACATTCCACCCTTATTTTATCGAAACTTGATTATGGTGACCAGATCTATTCAGCGGCATCTCCTGCTACTCTCTCTAGCCTTAACCCCATTCATCACCAAGGATTACGTTTATGCCTTTGTGCTTTTCGCTCTTCCCCTGTCGAGAGCCTCTATACAGAAGCGAACGTTCCATCCTTATCCGATCGCCATGATGCCCATTGCCTGCGCTACTATGTACGCTCTTATGATCTCCGCAATCCTTCCATTTATAGAATGGTCACTGATATTAGTAGACATTCTTTTTATTTGTTCGCCGCCCCTGTTTACTCCGTCCCTTCTCTCTTTGCCTTCATTCGCTCTTGTCTCTCTTCAACTACACCTTTCTATGTACATGTAGCATCTCACTTTTCCCTACCCCCCTGGGAAGTTCCAGCTATTCGAGTCTGTTCTTTCTCCCTCCCTTGCTCGAAAGCCCAACTGTCTACGGTCGCTTCCCGCTCTCTTTTTCTTGACCACTTTCACTCTCATTCTCATGCCATTGCCGTGTACACAGATGGCTCTAAGTCTTCTGACGGCATAGGATTCGCAGCAGTGTTTCCGGACAGCGTCGTACAAGGGCATTTACTATCTTCGGCTAGTATTTTACTGCTGAATTGTATGCCATCCTTACAGCACTTATCCGTATTGCATCTATGCCTGTGTCATCATTTGTGGTTGTCTCAGACTCCCTTAGTGCTTTACAGGCTATACAAAAATTTGATACACCTCACCCCTTAGTCCTCCGTATCCAACTTTGGCTATGCCGCATCTGTACCAAGCATAAAGATATTGTTTTTTGTTGGGTCCCTGGTCATGTTGACGTACAGGGCAATGAACAGGCAGACACTGCTGCGCGTTCAGCAGTACATGACCTACCAGTTTTTTATAGAGGTATTCCATTTACGGACTATTTTGCTGCAATATCTTCCCACCTTCACACCCGTTGGCAACATCGTTGGTCTACTATGCTCGGCAACAAACTTCAATCTATTAAACCGAGTATAGGTTACTGGCCGTCTTCTTATCACCAGTGTCGAGGTTGGGAGACTACTGTCTCCCGTCTTCGCATTGGCCATACTCATCTTACTCATGGATATCTCATGGAGAGGCGTCCTGCTCCTCTCTGTGAGAATTGCCAAGCTCCATTATCAGTCAGCCACATTCTGTTGGACTGCCCACTTTATCAAAGAGCACGCAGAATTTACCTCTGTCGTCGTCTTCGCTCCGCTACTCTCTCTTTACCTTCCCTTCTCGCTGATGGACCCACCTTTCATCCGGACTCTCTCATTGACTTTTTGACAACAACTGACTTACTTCACAAATTCTGATACCTTCAGCCCTTTCTACTTCAATCTCTTGCTACCCTCTACCCCCGTACTATCCCCTGCCCCGCTGTTTTCTGTAACCTGCTGATCATCCCTCCTCCCTTCTGCCATCCAATACCCTCGCTTCCTTCCCTACCCTGCAGCGCTGTATAGCCCTTGTGGCTTAGCGCTTCTTTTTGATTATAATAATAATAATAATAATATGCATCAGCAATTTTGCCCACTTTGAGCCCTATTTTCGGCCAGTTCCATTGTTCCAGTCAACCAAACTCATAGCTATTTTGCTAGACCTCCATTTGTTTTATTGATTGAATACAAGTAACTGCCCATTTGTTAATTTCAACTACCCTGTAAAGTGATCAGGAATTGGTAATTAGGCCAATTTCATACACAGTTCAAGTAAGGCCAATTTCAAAATAGTGTCCAGAATTAACAATACAAACATTCCTAGCACTAAAATAACATTTTCTCTGTTCATTTGTCATGTCTCCAGGCCCCTCTTATATTACTCTTGCTTTCCATTTTGAATTTTTATTCACTCAAAAAATAGAAGATTTACTGTTATGCAGACTACTGCATTATTGTAATAATTGTATAAATAATGTCAACCGATTCATAACTGCGTATTAGACTGGCCAGTTGAACACGTATTGGACGGTGACATCATTTGTTTACTCTTGAACATTGGCAAAAATCAAACATTTCTGCTGCTTCAAGCTCAATTTCAAGGTACTTTTAGTCCATTCAGAATAATATCTGTTTCTGTAATGTCTTCCATTCTGTCAATTGAGACCAAGAAAATGAGAATACACCCATAAATACCATACCAAAACACACCATGAAGTCGGTGTTTTAAACCAAAAAGTCAGTTTTTTTTTCTCATGGACTGAGTGCTGCAGGATTTTTTTATACTGCATGCACTGACCACTCAGACCCATTCTCTAATATGTAGGCCTATCAACTTTCTTCTGCAAGATTGGAAGCCGCTAGAATTTTGGTGTAATATTACAGCACCAACACTGGCTTGCAAGCCATAATGTTATGGCACCGACCGTGAAAGAGGTCATACAGAAACTTGTTCCAGCAGTGGGTGACAATTTAGTATGACAGTTCTCTATTATAAATTTAATATTGAAGATTAACTAACCAGTGTAAAATAATGGCATGAAGTGACCCAGTCAAATGCAGGGTGGAGTGTGGTGAATAGTTTCACAGGTTTATCCTCAGCAGAGTCAGGTTCTAGAATTTATGAATCTGGTAAGGACAGTGCCTGGTGAGAGCTGTGAAGATACGCAGTCAGAACTGTAGACGATGGTGACAAAGAACAAACAGCCGAATAAATGTTGGGGAACTCGGTTCCCAATTAGAAGGGAGTCAGATAACAGATGAAGATGAAGTAGAAGAACCTGTGTCTAAACAGTTAACACACTAAGAGATTTATGATCACTGCATGCCATTGGTAGAGATAGATTTTGACATGAGAAAAACCTTGACACTCGCACACAAGCATTGATGTGAAGCATGTTCTGGAACATACAGTGATACCAAATTGTCTGCTGTATAATATGTTGTTGAGCAAAACAGAGATGTGTTACAGGATACCAGAGCACTCCTTGACAACCATCAGTAACTAACAGCTCTGTATCTTCTCAAGAACCACAACCATCTACCTCAGCCTAGTTTTACAGCAACCCTATCCATAAATTTCAAGATCAACAACCACCAGCAACCAGAATTTAAGACAATTAACAATGGTTTTTCATAATCCTTTTAGTTCAATATACTGCATTTTAAAACTGTAAATTTCACCACAAGCAGCTAGTCTAGTAAGACCACATTAACCATCTACATTCATTTCAAGATCAACCAGCAGTGGCAGTTAAAGATTTTACATGCCCTATATTATAACTGCAGCAGTGACAGTTAAAGGTTTTACATGCCCTGTATTATAACTGCCACTGCTGGTTGATCTTGAAATGAATGTAGAGGGTTAACGTGGTCTTATTAGGCTAGCTGGTTGTGGTGAAATTTAGTTTAAAAAAAATATTGTTTGACTATTTTGGAGGTGTCAAGAATGGAACTCTATTTTTTCACGTGTTCTTTCACTATATACATTACTGCAATTTCACATACAGTGCAGATTTTCAGGAGTTCAACCTGCCTGAAATGTGAGATTCGAGTGTATACTAATTTCAAGCATATGTTCCTGTGCTTGTTTCTGTAATTAATTATTAATTGCTTGTCTAGAGTTTTTAGTGCTTAGTGTAGCTGTACATTATAACTACAATACACAGTTCACTGCTTTCTCAGCTAGTGACATGAACATTTAATTAAAAATGACAAGTGCATTTGGCTTGAAAACATTGGAACCAATGTTGTCCAATTCATGATTTTTAATTTTGTTTTATTCCATATCCTCAGGTGACAAAAGTGGTACTGCAGAAAGGTTGGCGGTGCCTGGATTGTACTGTATGTGAGGGGTGTGGAGAGCGTAATGATGAAGCCCGACTAGTACTGTGTGAGGACTGTGATATTTCTTATCATATTTATTGTATGAAACCTCCACTGGACCATGTTCCTTCAGGTGTTTGGAGATGTAAATGGTAGGTTCAGGCTTGTAGCACTGGTCACTTAATTATTAGTGTAAATGTTTAGTAATTTCTCAGTATATACTATTTTATAACATACATATATGGCAAAATTACATTGCTAATATAATTACCCATTTTTGGCTAGAGGAGCAGAGCTATGTTCAAGGTGCTTTTTTTTTTGTGGTAAAATACAGTAGACCCTTATATTACATGGATTTATTTGGCACATTTTGGTTATTACACTTGAAAAATTGCAGCATAATTTTATACAACGCATTGTAAAATTAACTTAACATGATTCGGTTTGTGGGAGGGGAAAAAATTTGAAGCGTCACCTGCAGGATATTTCCTGAGCTCAGGCCACCACCTTGCTGTAGGTAAGACCACTGTCTCCATGGGGGAGATACACCAACATCCCCTGCCACCTTCGTCCAAGCCTTCCGCTCATACAAATCTAGGAGCTAGCTGTGTTTGTGGATTGTGTTTTGATATTTTAATTGCTATATCTTGTATCTGCCAAGCAATAATGGCACCCAGTAGGCACACAAGTGTTGCTGAAAGTGGCAAGAAGAGGGTTAAGCATTTTAAGTTTTGGAGTTACTGACTTAATTGACTGTCTGACTTGATGCCTTACTGACTTACTTGACTGCCTTACTGATTGACTTGACTAACTTACTGACTTACACTTTTTCACTGAAGAGGACCCTTAAAAATCTAGAAGCAGTGCTCTGAAACAGTGTCTAGAGCAGCTGATGCCTTACTGTCAGCTGTATAATGTACTTCAGGGTAAAATAGCCCAGAAATCCACTACAGAATTTATGTACGGTCCAGTCTAACCATCGACTTCAGTATCAGAACTGCTACCTTCCACCTCAGCCCAGTAGGGCCACAGCATAACTCTCCACTCTCTTCACAGTCGTCAACAAACACCAGCACCCACAGTTAAAGGAAAGAAATACAGTGGAACCTCAAATTTCGAGTGTATTGCTTATTGAACTCTTTGAAAATCTACCACTTTTTTCGACCAACTTTGTCACCATTATCGAACTTGCCCCTTTTCTCGAACCGCCGGGTACCGGACTTGTCCACCAGCCTGCTCTGTCCGTGTCCCCACGCAGGCGCCATGAGCCAGTCTGGTTTTGTCGATGCTTGAGTGAACACTAACCTGCAGTCTCATTCAAACATTTTACGATTAATTCATTGTGTTTAGTGCTTGTGGGACTGTGAAATAAGCTACCATGGGCCCAAAGAAATTTGCTAGTGGTACCCCCTGTGGTAAAGAAAGTGAGAAACACCGTAGATGTGAAGAAGGAAATAATATAGAAGTATGAGAGTGGTGTGAAACCTGTTGAGCTTGCCAGGATGTATGGGAAAAACAAGTCGACCATCGCTTCTATCGTGGCAAAGAAAGAACAAATCAAGGAAGCTGATGTTGCGAAAGGTGTTAATATGCTAACCAAAAAAGACCAGAGAATCGATCAGGTTGAGAAGTTGTTGCTGTTGTGGATCAAGGATAAAGAGATGGCAGGTGATAGTGTTTCGGAGACGATTATTTGTGAGAAGGCTAGGAAGTTGCATGCTGATCTGGTACAGAAAACTTCTGGAACCAGTGCTGATAGTGAATTTAAGGCCAGCAGAGGCTGGTTATGGAGGGGAATTCCTCTTTCAAACACTAACCCCAACTCCCTCTCTCCTCCTCCTCCCTATCTTCCAGATGCCATCACCAATCTTCAATAAAGGTATGTAAAAATGTTATTTTATATGTTTATTTAAATTTATTAATACATAATTGTACACTATTTGTTATGTGTATGTAAAACTATAATTAACGCTTTCGGGGTTTCGGCCGTACTAGTACGGCTTACTCGCCAGGGTTTTTGACGTACTGTACTAGTATGCATAAATTCTAGCTCCCTCAAATCTAGCAAGAGAAAGCTGGTAGGCCTACATATGAAAGAATGGGTCTATGTGGTCAGTGTGCGCAGTATAAAAAAAATCCTGCAGCACACAGTGCGTAATGAGAAAAAAAAAAAAACTCTGTCCGTGTTTTTGGTTTAAAACAGTGACTTTGCACTGTATTTTCGTATGGTATTTATGGTTGTATTCTAGTTTTCCTGGTCTTATTTTATAGAATGGAAGACATATTACAGAAATTGAGATGATTTTGATTGGTTTCACAATGAAAAGTACCTTGAAATTGAGCTCAAAGTAGCAGAAATGTTCGATTTTTGCCAAAGTTCAAAAGTAAACAAATCATACCACGCGTCCAATACACGTCAACTGGTGAATCTGATATTCTTTCACAAGTGCGCTGGTATTATTTATACCATTTTTACACTAATACAGTAGTCTGCATAACAGTAAATCTTCTATTTTTTGTGAGAATAAAAATTCAAAGTGGAAAGCAAAAGAAATGTAAGAGGGGCATGGGGATGTAACTAATGAACAGAGGATATGTTATTTTAGTGCCAGGAATGTATTTCTTGTTTATTCTGGACCCTATTCGGAAATTGGCATCTTTTGAAATTTGTGTGAAATTGGCAAAATTGCTAAATTCTGACCACTGGGTGGTTTCTTGTACTCATTCGATAGAAAAAACGGAGTTCTAGCAAAATAGTTATGATTTTTGTTGACTAGTACACTGGAATTGGCCAAAAATAGGGCTCAGTGGGCAAAATCGCCGATGTGTAAACATCGTTGAGACCGTTAACTTCGCGAGAGCACAATTCCGTAAATTTTCCATCAAATTTCATACTTTTGGTGTCATTATGATTGGGAAAAGATTCTTTATCTTTTCATAAGATTTTTTTTTTTTTTTTTTTTTTTTTTTGGAATTTTGGCGACCCTGAGAACAAGTCTCTGAGAAGACCTGGTGACCCTCAAAGGGTTACTCTCTATAAAATGTATTTTTATGTGAATATTTTTTTTTGTTTCTGGAATGGATTAATTGTATTTCAATTATTTCTTATGGGAAATATTGCTTTGCTTTTCAAACTTGTCGAATGTAGAACTAGCTTCTGGAACGGATTAAATTCGAAATTAAAGGTTCCACTGTACTGTTACTTCTTTTGCATTTGTAGCCTTAAGCAGTAAAAACAACATAATACATCATGACATTGAAGAACAGTTACATATTCACTTGTACTTTTGTAAGATCTGGATGTCTAAAAAAACGTTGTTTGGCTTTTTTGAGGCTCTCAGGAACGTAACCCTCATTTTTCTACAAGTCCGTCAGTTTATCTTACACGGATTTATTTAACACGGCATTTTTCAGGAACATAACTAGTGTAATACAAGAGTCTACTGTATTTTATTGCATCTTTTTGGCATATTTATTTTCGTAGTTCACTATTGTGTCCTTTTGTTGTCCTTGTTCAGGGCATTTTAAAACCATCTTTATTTTCTTTTATCTTTTCATGGGTTTATATGTGGTTATGCTTCCTCATTTTCCCTTTTTATTGAAGTTTTCTGTCTTTGTAGTTATTGCTTATCACTGGGAGCAGTACATTTGCAGCATGTTTTTGAATTTTTATATTTGTTATGAAGATGTTCATTAGCTGTGGGCTTTGGGTACCATACTACAGCAGCTTTTCCAGTTTTTTTTTTTTTTAACACGCTGGCTGTCTCCTGCCATGGTAGGGTGATATGAAAAAGGAATACTTGCACCATCACTCACTCCATCACTGTCTTGCCTGAGGCATGCTGATAATAGAGTTCAGGTGCCCCTCCAAAATGCAGATATCCCAACTCTCAGAATGCAGACACTGTACTTTCCACTTCCAGCTAACTGGTTTCCCTGAATCCCTTCACAAATGTTACGTTGCTCATACTTAACACTTAGGGTCTAGACCCTTGATCTGAAACTTGTCCACAGGGTTCAAGAAATTTTTTGTTATTTTTCTTAGGAAATGGTAGAGAATCTTTTTCTGAAGGTAATAAAACAAAAAATACAAAAATTTGATGGAAAACTGACAGTTACACTATCACGAATTTTGCTGTGTTGGTGATATTTACACATCAGCGATTTTGCCCACTTTGACTTCTATTTTAGGCCAATTGCATTGTTCCAGTTGACCAAATTCTAAGCTATTTTGCTAGTATGCCTTCTGTGTTATTGATTGAGCACAAGAAACTGCCCAGTCAACTATTTCAGCTAATAAAGTAATCAGAAATTGATAATTTGGCCAATTTCACATACAGTAGACCGTCGCTTAACACGATTTTGTCTTGCACGTTTTGTATATAGCACGATTGAAGAATTGCAGCATATTTTTGTTTAACACTTCGTAAAATTAGTTTAACACGGTTGCGAGAGAGGAAAAATTTTTGAGCGCACGGTCGCCTGCTGGGTGACCATGTCTCATGCTGGTTGACCCACCGCCATCCCCCGCCACCCACACCCTCCCACACCACCCTCTCAGCCTTCGGTTCGGTTCATACGCTTGTAGGACAACGATACTCGAGAAGCTTGCTGTGTTTATTTACATGCATATTTTGTTTTCATTACCATTTGTTAAATCTGCCAAGCAATCGTGGCACCCAGTAAGCATACAAGTGTTCCTGCAAGTGACAAGAAAAGGTTTAAGTGTTCAAGTCTAGGAATTATGAAGAAAATCAAGATATTAGATAATCTTAAGAGTGGCTCATGTTTGGTGGATATAGTGAGGGCCTATGGCCTTAATGAAACATCATTTCGTACAATTAAAAAGAATGAGGTGAGTATACGAGCTTGTGTAATGAATAACCCATTATGTCACCTCATGCAAAGAATGACACACAGATCACAGCAAGTAAATAAAACTGAAAACTTGTTGCTTGAGTGGATTGAACGAAAGACATAGAAAGGTGCACCACTTAATTTCCTCTTAATTAGGGAAAAGGCCTTACAGTTGTTTAAAGCAGTGTGTGATAAGGAAGGCCTGAAAAAGTGTGAGTGTTTAGCACAGGCTGGTTCCACAACTTCAAGTTGCATACCATACCCCCGGCCGGGATTGAACCCGCGGTCATAGAGT